TGGACTGGAGGTGGTAGAAGAATTTCAGACAAAATTATTTCAAGCTTATAACCTGTGACAGCAGACTAGGCTCTCTCACCAGACTGTTGGCCAGGCATTTTGTGCCTCAATGCCCATAACACAGGGTTGATTATACTGAACTTTCTTTCCAGCACTTTAAGATCTCTAATCCAAGTCTGTAAATACCAGGTTACACCATGAAGTCCATAAGCAGGTGTAGTACTTACACACCTTGAGGTGGTAGGAAAAGCACAGGTCTACTAACATCAATGCATGTTCATTAGGGAGCTCTCAGATTCTGAATCCAGGTAATTAAGAGCAGAATGAAACCTGTACAGCTTTACAAGCATCGCCTGTAGGATCCCTGATGTCCTCTCTTGTGATGCGCTGCTTAGGAACCTCCACTCCACCCACTGCCCAGCCCAGCTTAGCTCATGGGTCTCAAGATGCCCACAGCCCAGCTGTGATGACCCCAAATCACACTGCGTTGCGACCTCTTCTCTATGCCTCCTGCAGGGAACTGCATGAGTGAGTTCATGGGGCTCATCAAAGGCCACTACGAAGCAAAGGAGGAAGGCTTCCAGCCTGGAGGGGGCAGCTTGCACAGCATGATGACTCCTCATGGGCCGGATGCCGACTGTTTTGAGAAAGCGAGCAAAGCCAAGCTGGAGCCTGAGAGGGTTGCAGAAGGGACCATGGTAAGGAGCCAAGGGAGCCAGTAAGATTTTGAACACAGCACAGCATACTGTGGCTGTGCCAGTCTCAAAGTACAGCCTAGCTTCTTGCTGGCAAGTTGGAAAAGTTCTTGGACCAAACTGCTGCAGCATTCACCTCCCTTACTTATCAGCACTAGGAGCTCCTCTGCAGACAGGTGATGCCAAGCAACTTTGATCATCTGCCCACATAAATTGTTGCCTGAGCAGGAACTTGGGAATTTTCAAGCTGATTAATTTAATTTTTGTCTTAGCCTATGGACAAAGAAACAAAACCCCTGACTATCCTCCTTTCTCCACCCCCTAAAATCTAATAATAAAAATCAACAGACCTTGAACTAGAGCTTTTGGAACAACCTGGCTTTCCTGGGCATGCAGGGAGTGCAAAGTCACTCCTGAGACCTGATTAATACCAGCACTGCAATGCCAGCTCTAAAGAGCTTTCTCCCCATGGGCTGATCAGGCTGGAGGCAGAACTTGGCACTGATGGACCATGTGTACAACTCCTGTTTGTGGTAGAGCAGAGCCAACTTGCCTGGGTGCAAACTTTCACTCTTGTCCTAACCTACCTTCCCTTTTCCCAATAGGCCTTCATGTTCGAATCATCCCTCAGTCTGGCTGTCACCAAATGGGGCCTCCAGACCTCCAGCTGCCTAGATAAAAACTACTACAAGTGCTGGGAACCTCTGAAAAGCCATTTCAACCCTAAGTGCAAGTAAAGAGAAGTATTTGTTGTTTGCAACATGCGAGTGAAGGCAGGGAAACGCAGCACACATCTACATGTGATGGCACAGTCAACTCGGGCAACGCAGAGGGCTCCAGCACAGAACGGCATTTCCAGCAGCCACTGAGCAACGAAAATTATCATCCCTATGTAACTTGGGAAACGCAATAAAAAACCACCATTATTCTTAACTTTCAAGCATCCAATTAAAGCTTTCCTGGTGACACACCGAAGGTGAAGTACTTGCATGGCTCTCACCACGTATAGTTGGTGTTACCTTGTGCAGACACAAGGTGACAGCCAGACCCCATTCACAGGGACTCCTGAAAACACAACCTGGTGTGTCTTTCACAGGGAGAAGCTAGGGATCAACAAAGCATTTCATGCTGTCTGTGGGGGAAGAGCTTTGCAGAGCTGAAGGCTCTACCAGACCCAAGCCTCCTATCAGAGCAGGCCACTTCCATCTGCTGCTCTGTGCAGGGTTGCCAAGGAAAGACTTGATTGACAGGAAAGTACACTGCAAATTAGAAAAGGCTGAGGAATCTGAAGCACTTCACTGCTAAGCGAGGGAGTTTCCTTTCCAACCCTACACTCTGACCATCCTTCAACATCGACTCTTTTGTCAGCACTTGACAAATTCTCTCCCTAGTTAAGTGCTAATTTGCAGCATGGGAAATGCAAAAGCGCTTGTCTGGCCAGTCCAGGCATTTGTTCTTGGGAAGGTACCTGGAAGAAAGCTTGAGTGCAGACAACATCGTGGAGGACCTCAAAATTCATTGGAGTATGCAAGCCTCACCCCCAGGTGGTGAGTTCCACAGGGCTGAGGCAGAAGGCGAAGCCCCAAGAAGAGTGGGAACCAGAAGCATAGCCCAGGCACCCCAAACCTCGGGCCTGCACTTTAGCACATATCCACATGAAACAGTTACTAAGGCTGGTGCCATCAGGATTTCTGTTTCTTACTTCCCAAGAAAAACAATCCTCAATTTTCTAAAAGAGAAAGAAATGTAGACCTGTGATGCCTAACTTCAGTCAGTTACATCCATCATCAGTTTTGGATCTGCACCAGATCCTTGGGGAAAAAAAAGGCATCAGCTTTGAGCAAAGTATTACATTATAAAATCTACAGGGAGATGTTTACTCTAAAATAGCCAGCTCAGAAAAGGACATTCAGGAGAATCAATTTGCCAGAGAAGATGATTTAATCAGAGTGATCCAGGGATAAATGAGGTCTAAAAGTTTCACAGGCAGAGGGGAAAATCTTGTTTCCAGTTTGGGACCTGAATTATCATCCAGTGACCTGCACACTTGAGTTTCTCTTGCTATAGACTCATCACTGAAGCAGACACAGGTGGTAATACATCAATCAAGGGTAAAATTCCACAAGGCACATTCACTGTCCAAGCTTCACCCCACATTTCTGAAGGGAAAGTGCCCTTTCCTTCTTCTATACACCCCGCATCACTGCCTCAAACCACCAACCCCATCTCCAGTAGCATAGCGCGTTTATTCCTTTCAAGAAAATGGCTTGGAGAGTTCTGCAAATAACAACAGAGAAAAGTAGGGCAGCCTTTCCCCAAGCACCAGGCTCAAATCTGCAGGGACATAGCATCAGACGCTCTCATCTGCAAAGGAAAGGGCTGTGGCAGGTGCCATGACCATCAGTCAAGGCCGGCCTAAAAGACTAGAGGCGCTGCGCTCACCCGCAACCCATCCCGAACCATTTGCTCCACTGGCCTGAAACAGAGCTGCAAAGGAGAATTTACATGTGTGGCAACTCAAGTTCCAATTAGCGGAGGAAATGGGTCCTGGGAGATCAAATTAGTTTGTGGCAGCAGGAAGATAGTTAATTTAGCATGCTCAGACAAGTAATTATTTCTTTC